AAAGAAAGAAAGAAAAAGAAAGTCCTCTAAGCTAAGCTGACCAACCTGATCAAGGGAATGTAGCAGAATTACTATTTGCTGCCTGTAGTCAGAAGCTTAAGTTATTCATTTAGAAAATAAGACCTGGCTTGGTGCCCATAGCAGTGGTTAAGGCACCAGGCACATACACAGAGGCTAGCGGGTTTGAACTCGGCCTGGGCCTGTTAAACAAAGACAACTTCAACAAAAATAGCTGGCCGTTGTGGCGAGTGCCTGTAATCCCAGCTACTTCAGAGGCTGAGGCAAGAGAATTGCTTAAGCCCAAGAGTTTGAGGTTCCTGTGAGCTATGATGCCATGGCACTCTACTAAGGGTGACATAGTGAAACTCAGTCTCAAAAAAAAAGAAAAGAAAACAAGACCACTATATTGTATTCCATCTCCATAATGTAACATAGATACATGTGTATATTTAATATTTTGAAAGGAACATTCCTTCATGATATGGACTGAATTGCATTCCCCCTGAAGTCCTAACCCACAAATGTTACTGTGTTTGGAGAATGGGGTACTTAGGGAAGTAATTAAGATCAAATGAGGTCATAAGGGTAGAGCCCTGATCCGAGAGGACTGTTGTCCTTATAGGAACAGAAGAGACCACAAAGCTTTCTGGCAAAGCGAAAAGGCCATGTGAAGATATCAAGAAAGCAGTAGCTGCCAAATCAAGAAAGCCCACACCAGCCACCAACTATAACCTGTGATCTTGGAATTCAAAATCTCCAGAACTGTTAGTAAATAAATGTTTGACATTTAAGCCATCTACTCTGTGTTATCTTGTCATCTACGCTTAGGCAGACTAATGTACTCTGTAACAAGCAATTTATAAATAGTAATAAAAAACAAAAAGAAATTACCTCTGCCTGATCCCAACTTGACAGCTTTTTGGGAGTGGCACCAGGAGTCTGATCGGCTGTTTGATCCCAACGCCGTTTTCGTTTTGACGGAGGCTGGGACGCTGCTGCTCCATTGACGACTTTTAGTTCTCCAGCTTTAGCTTTTTCTGCTAGCTGTTGCCTAATTTCTCGCTGAGAAGTATTTGGAAAAGCATTGATATTGAGCTTTAAAATGCTTTCAACGTATTTTTGTCATTTGCGCAGTATTTCTATTTAACATCCTATTGTACTTTGCTCACTCTCCTTTCTATGCTACTAGTAGTCTCATTTTTTCCCTTGTATTTTTAGTTTTACACATCTTTCTTTCCCAACAAGAGAAAAACCAAGTACAGAATTTATGACATAGTACACTTTACTTTATATTCAGTTAGGTGAATATAAAAATCTTCTGCCAACAGTATAGAACCAAAATGCTTCCAATGAAAAACAGCTTTAACATTCACAAACCAACCAACTACATAACACAAAATAGAAAAAAGTAAAAATAACATTATTTTATTTACAATTAAGTAAATTATAGCAAATATACATTTAAGTTACCCTATACTTTTTAAATGGAATTCATTTAACTCATATAACAAATCATATTATTCTAATAACGTTATGAGATTAAAACAAAATAGCATAATCTCTGCAAGCAAAAAGGAATTATTCTCCATCCGTATCCAAGCAGAATCTTATAAAACTATCTAACTTTTCCCTAACACACTGGCTTCAGACAGACACCAGCAACCCTCTTCTCATAGCCACATCCACTATAAGATACATATGTACATATATGGCCAAAGGGCCTGGGACTAGAATAAGATATGGAAATGAAAAACTGTATTTGGGAGGTGGCATAATTTGGGGGTAAATTTCTTTTTCAACTCAATTTTTATTAATACCATTAAAATATTACTTGTGCAGCAGAAAGCAAAATACCAAACTCAATCTCAACTTCCTCAATCTCATTCTTTCCCCACTATTAAAATAAGAGGCAAGTTCACATACTTCTTCTTTAGTCAAATGCTGTTCTCGCATTACATCCATGTAAGTCCTAGCATTCATTTTAGGATCAGGTGTCTTCCCTCCTGCAGAAAAGAACAGCAACAGGACAAGAGTACAATAAATAAAGGATAATTAGGTTCAACTGATTTATCTGCCCTGCTCTAATATTATGTTATTCCATAATCATTTAATTTATTTTTGATGGAAAACTTTAATAATTATACATCTTACTTTTTACTGAGTTTGCTGATCAATTTAACCTGTTTGAACACAAACATATCTACAGCAGTTTAAAACAAATATTTTAATGCATATAAAAACAAAATGACAGCACAGTTTAGTCTTCAGAAGTGATGGGTTCCTGGGTTGCTAATCCGGAATACGTACACTTTCGTGCCTTTGTCTCCATCAGCAGTTCTGACTTCAAGCAGCAGAATAGAAGCCTAGAAAATTATCTCTTTACCATTAGTAACACTTTGGAAAGATATTTATATTCAAAACATTACCTGTTGCAAGCTGTTAAAATCTTGACTACAAATAACTATGACTAGATAAGTTCTTTACAGTGTTCTAAAACAGTTGTAGTTTAGAAAATTTGATTTTTAAAAATACACCTAAACTGTCATTCTGATGTCTCGTTACTAAAAAGGGCTTCATGCTTTTTTAAGTTTTTTTGACCCGGAAAACATATTTTTATTTCTTAGAAAGTATAAATTACAACTGGAAACATATTACTTCAAATATATTACTTCTACCAATTATGATGCACACGAAGAAAAGCTGGTGTACAAAGAGATGTGTTGGTCTCTTGGTTAAAGTTTCAGCAAAGTTTCAGTTGCTTTTCAAACTTCAAAATATCTTAAAGAAGCCCAAACAGTATATACCAAGATTCATAGAGGCACAATATGCTTTAAAAATGTGATAATTAGCTATACAAGTAGTATAGCATCACAATTTAGGAAAGAATAATAAAATTCTAAGACATTTCCTATACTGACGATCATGCCCAATTGGTAGTGTCATTCTTTCTGACACTAGCTCTGTTAAGACTTCCTTTGGAATACTTTTTCACCATAATCTAGAGAGGATGTGTTGAACTGCACCCTTAAGAATGCAGACAGGACTGGCATATAGCAGTACTGCTGTAGGAAAGAAATTAAGGACAGTTAGTATGGGCCTGTGAATTCTGACATACATGTTTAAATCAATTACAATTATGCAAGTAAAAAAAAGAATATCCCTACTAATTCATGCAGGCTGAAAGCCTAGTATGTAAAAACCTGCAGCAGAATATAATTTTAAGAAACAGGCACCTAATTTTGATTGTGAAACTCACTCACCTGAGGAAAGCTTCCATCAGGCTCACTATGCCCCTTGTGCTGACTTGCACACTAAAATTAGCAAAACAGACTCCAACTATTAAAATGATCAAAGTCTTTGTATACATACTTTTGTTTTAACTTTAAGTATGCCTAAAGCAAAGTAGTTGCATTTACTAAGCTATATTTAGAGCAACAGTGGGGAGGGGAGCTCTAGTGTGAGAAATAGTTTCTCAAAAGTTAACAATCCTAAAAATCTAAGATTTGGAATGAAAACTTTCAATAATTTGAAAGTATTTTCAGCAGAAAAACACATTTGTTCAAAGTATAGAAAGCGTACCCAAAACAAAAGTAAAAGAAAAACCTTTAACCCTTTGCGTTTCTATGGCATTGGCTCATTATTTTCTTGTCCTTCTACCTGGAAAGAAAACTTGCATTATAAAGATGAAGAATATGGCATCTGTGACTTCAACCAAATCTATACAAATCTATAATAAGGGGGATTTTAAAAAAGAAAAGCAAATT